ATAGTATATGTATTTATAAGTAGATAATTAATATATAAGTAGATATAATAATTGTATAAGTATTAAATAGTAAAATAAAATATAAAGGAGAATAAGAGAATTTGAGAAGATGAATATGAAGAATTGGAGATGAGTAGAGAGTAGGATTTAGGGAGAGTTGGAGAAGAGGTGTGAAAAAATGTTTAAAAGTAGGAGTATTTATAGGTTCTTTTTAACCCCCACCCCCCCACCCCACCCCCCCCAAATGCCCCGGACCCCCTGGTACCCCCTCAACGGCTATATAGCCGTTTGGGAAGTGGCTGTTGAGCCAATTTTTTTTTTTTTTTTTTTTTTTTAAAATTAAAACAATTTTTTTTTTAAAAAATGACCGTTAGGCCCGGGCCCGGGCCCGACCCGGCCGGGCCGGGCAACCAAAAACAGAACCCGAGCCCGGACCCGCTTCTCCCACCGGTTCGGTGCCCGAACCGGACCCGGACCCGGACCCGAGAACCGGGCCGGTTCTGGGCCCGTACAGTGACGGGCCGGGCGGCCCGAACCGGGTCCACCACTAACACTAGGACTTAAAGTCCTTAACACTCGGATTATAAATTGGTGGAGGACCCTAGGACTAAAAGTCCTTAACACTCAAATATAAGTTGGTGGAGTACCCAGGGATTATGATCCTCAAAACTCATAGATTATGATATTGAAATAGGGACAAGGAGGAGTCCTATACACTCATAGGTATATGGGTGGGTTGGGGTTTTTAGTCAAGAATACTGACTATTACTATTTTTTCCCAAATAAAACGGTGATCCACGGATCGGGTATTTTCCAAGTATAAATATACTAATGAGTATTTCATAACTTGGGGGAGAAGACTATCTATATAAGTATCACCCTATGTTTGGGTCTTATACTTGAAACGCTAGTTATTCTATATTTAGCCTGCTACTCGCTCGGTACTTGTACTGACCCCTTCGGGCCCCCCCACCATTTTCAGGTTGAAGCTAGGACTTGCTACCTGCACCTTCTTACGGGTAATATAAACTTCAGGGAGACGTGGTTCATGCTTCCTTATTTTCTTTCAAACTACCGAACACATGCTCATGGATATTTGTTCTACTATAAACTATTCTTGGGGCTTGCATGCCCATGTTGTTGGCCGGTTGTGGCTTATGACTTACAGTTGAATATTTCCGCTATTCATTGGTTTAAATGTGATGTTGTTATGTATGTATACTACTGAGTATGGATGGATTATATTCTCGAACGCCTTGTGTAATTAAGTGAGGTTGACTCGCGGGTGACGTCACTTGATTATATGGCGGTTGTACACGCGCTTGGATTGCGGTCTGGGGCGTGACATCGAGCTACCCCATATCTCCACCCCTGATTACTAGGAGAGGAAAATATGATTAGTCATATTTTTTGATGAAAAATTTAGTTATCTTTTTTTATATTTTAAAAGGCTTCAAGTAGTTATTTGTCTTTTTCCATTTTTATTAGGTCAAGGCTCTGTTTGGCACAACGAGCTGAAGCTGGAGGCTAATGTCTGAATTAAGAGCTATTGTTGAATCAAAGACAATTGCTTGGAACTGAACTTTGAAGTGTTGAATCTGAATTGCTAACTGAATAGAGTAGATTTGTTTGGTAAAAAGAACTAAGAAAGTGTGTTCGGATAGTAGTAAGAAATTACATTAATGGACATATGCCTTATTAATAGAACAAAATATTTACTATGCAAATTTTTATATTTTAAGATTTTTAAAATTTCAGGATACATATTTATCTCTCTCTCTCTCTCTCTCTATATATATATATATATATATATATATATATATATATATATATATATATATATAAAATTTTCAATATATTCATGAAGAACATCACTTTCTACATATTGTTGATTTTCTATTCAAATGCCAGTGGATGAGACTCGAAAATTAAAGATGGGAACTGTCCAATTCCCCTCTTTTCTCAAAACTCAAACCAAGGATTTATCTACACGTCAACCTGTAAAGATAACTTAAATTGATTTTAGAGAAAACTGACAAATAAGGCCCCACTATTACGAAAAAAATTGATTAGAACCCCCAACTCATTTCCCATCCAATCAAGTACTCCAATTCCCAAAAAAAAATCAAATCCACTTTTTAAGATGTTAACAACCGATTCTCCGGTATGCATACACGTGTGTCAAGTTTTTTATTTTGGAAAATTTGACAAGAATAATCCCATCATTCACCGATCTTCTCATAATAATCTCACCTTTAAGTAATACTAGAATAATTCCACATTTACACCTCATCTTTTTTCATTGGACCCTGACCTGTTGATGACCAACTATACCAAGTTTTTTTACCTTTTCTTTGAAAATCATAAAAATAATCTTACTATTCACTTTTTCATTACTGTAGAATGCACTGTTTGGCACTGTTTAAACACTATTTGACACTGTTTAAACACTGTTTGGCACTGTTTAAACACTGTTTGACACTGTTTATCACTTTTTTGATGTAGATAATTTGCCAAATAAGGAAAGTATTGAAGTGTGAAGTTAATTTTGGGACATCCATTTAAGGAAAGTGGGAAGTTGTTTTCGGGACAGAGGGAGTATATCTTTATAAATGTGGGTTCATTTATATAAGATTTTCAAAGAAATGGTAAAAACCCTGATATAGTAGGTCATCAATATGTCATGGTCCAATGAAAGAAGACGAGGTGCAAATATGAGATTATTCTAAGATTATGTAAATGTGAGATTATTATGAGAAGACAAGTGAAATGTGAGATTATTCTTGTCAATTTTTCCTTTTATTTTTCATTTTCTTTTTTCTTCTCTTTCTCCCTTCCTTCTAAGAATTTTGCTAAAGGTACCCCAAAATGGGGTACCCCATTTATCTCCCACCCTATTGGGTGGCCACAAATGAGGCAACTCATTTAAGTGGGGCACTATTCAACACACAAATTAAAATAAAAAAATTCTACCACTACACATACTAAGGATGTGTCTAATTTGGACTAAAATTTGTTAGTCTAGTCTGATTTGGTCTGGTCTGGTCTAAATTAGTCTGATTAATGTCTGATATCTGTGTATTTTATAACTACGGAAGTTTTGTCCAGTCGAGATTGAAAACCATCCAAAAAACATCATAATCCGTAGTTGATAAGAGTGGTAAATTAGAAATTTGAGTCAAGAAAGGGGCCAATATTTTTTTTTGACGTCACAGCTTACATAATAATTGTCATCAATGACGTCAAAGTAAACTTCAGCAGCCTCGTATACTTCGTAGGGAGATTTCAACAAGTAGGATCTAATCATACTAATTTTCGAAAATTAAGACTATAGATTACCGTAAGACTTAAACACATCTGCTTTGACCAAATTACCCTTGCTTTTAAGTTCTGGAGGAGAGAGGAGAATTGCGAATCAAAGAAGTGCGATGGCCGAAGGGGCAAAAGGCGTAGCAGCGGTGCATCCTACGGCGGTGCATGAACTCTACTCTAGCCTCCAGTTCTTCACGTCTTGAGTTCCTGTCTTATTTAGTTGAATTTCTTCACTTCTGCAAATCTCTGATCGGCGACTCCACTATATCACTACTCCAGTCTCTAATCTGCCTTTCAATTTCTAATCATCACAGACCACATCTTCATTCCGTAGCAGACCACATCTCCACATCTACCTATTAGGAATGCCTCACTTTCTCAACATAAAAAACTGCAGAAAGATTAAACGGAAAAAGAAATTTGGGAGTAAGCGAATCTGAAGATGCATTAATACACAAGGCCACCAGGTACTCTGCAAAACTTTTGAAGAAACGAGATCCAAAACCAAACTTGCAAACACTAGACAATACATAGACAGTAAGTAGTCAATAAACAGACAATAAGTTCTAATATAATAGCTTAATAACAGGCAATACATAAACAGTAAGTAGTCATTAAATAGACAATAAGTTCTGATAATAGATCAATAACAGAGCATGTTCTGTTGTAAAAAAAACAGAACGGGTTCTGTAAAACAATATATATACACAATTTATTATATCTCGAGAGGCTATTGAGAAACTCCGTGATGAGGCGGCATATGTGGTCACACCGTCACAACATTTGGTTATGATGTCATGATAAGGTCATGATGTCGGAGAAGGATTTTGTTCCTAATTGGATCAACGCCAGAGATGTAAATCGGACGGTTCGGAAATTTTCGAAATCGTAAAGATGATTGAGCCAGCGGTAACAGCCTTGAGTCACCGATGAGAGATGCTAAAACAGGCGTAGAATACTCGTAGGGCGTAGAATGCGATGAGGTGAAGAGATGAAGGAGTCGGGGACGTTTTTTTTTTCTAAAATCTGGAATCCTAAAGGGAGAAGGGCAAAATTGGAAAGCCATAATATTGTTTCGTAAAAGAGAACTATATAAGTCTTACGCATTGAAAAAATACAACTGGGTCCTAGTTTTGTAAAATTTCTATGATTTGATCTTAGGAGGAGCAATTTTCTTAATTAGGGTCTGTTTGCAACAGTTTCTGCTTTTAAAAAAGTGCTTTTTTTAATGAAATGGAGATAAATGATTAAATAAAAGTTGATGATGTTTGAGAAAAAAGTGATTTTGAAAAGTAAAAGTGGGTAGTGCTTGGTAAAATAAGTGTTTTTTGTGTAATAGAAAAAGTATAAACACTTTTGACGCGGAAGCTGAGAAAAATAAAAGTTGTAGTGTTTGAAAAAATAAGTACTTTTTTAAAGCCAAAAGCTGAGAATTGCTTTTTTAAAAGCAGTTGCAAACCAACCCTTATACTTCGTACTCCTTAAAATACTCCGTACTATTTTGTGCTCTCTAGATTGTACGAAGTAACGCACCAATTTCTAGTGGCGCGTTTTTTTAATTAATTTCTTCTCCCACAAACTATCCTAATCCTATCCTAATTAAGTAAAACCAAGAAACTTCGTAGTACCTGCTAGGCTGCTATAAAGCTACCAACAAATTAAATTAATTTGAATTAAATTGTCCTAATCCTTTCTCGCTATAAATACGTACAGTAGTTGCTTAAACCGACCACAACATAAATCTTAATCTTAGCTAGCTTGTCTTAGCTGATCTATCTATCTATCCTCCAAACAAGGCAGCGCACGTACGTACGTTATTCAATATGACAGTGATGATGATGAAGAGAAGTCGAAAGGAAGTTGCCGCGGACGCGGAGGTGCTCGCCATGGCAAACTGTCTCGATCTTCTCTCCCGTCCCGGAGCCGCCGTCAACGCGGCGGCTTCGTTGGAGTTCGGGTGCAGGACCTGCACAAAGAGGTTCCAGTCGTTCCAGGCTCTGGGCGGCCACATGGCGAGCCACAAGAGGATCAAGACCATGAAAAGGGAAGGGAGCGAGAGAAAAGGCCATAAATGTGTTGTTTGTGGTTTGGTGTTTGGCTTGGGTCAGGCCTTGGGTGGTCACATGAGAAAACATCGCACCGACCTATTACAGGTTAATACTGCCAAAATATCCAAAAGAGATGAAAAGGAAGAATACATGGATGGGGTTTATAGTAAAATGGACGATGAAAGAGCGGTTATGTTTGATTTGAATTTGAATCCTCAGCGAGATTGGATGGCACCAGGAGAGGAAGCTGCTGATTTTCCTAGGACAACTTTGAATTTGTTCATATAGTTAGTTTATGGCCTCGATCAATATTTTTCTTTAATTTCTTAATAATTATCTGTAAATTATTTGTAGTATATAGAGTAATATATACGAGTAGATTAGAAGTGTAGTTTTTCTATAACAATAATAACCATCACATATACTACCCTCGTTCTTAAATAAATGCAACACTTTGACTTTTACACTATTCACATGTTTTACTTTGACTACATTTTATTTATTAATGTAATAATATTATTTTATGAAAAAAATATTGTTAAACTTGTCTCATTGTAAATTTTCATAATCTATTTTTTTTTAATTTTTTTACTAATACAAAATCATTTATATTAATGGTCAAAGTTATGTTTCGGCAAGTGTGAAATGTTGACCGTGACATTTATTTAAGAACGGAGGAAGTAGTAAGGTATAGTGCCCATGAAAAGTCTTTGTTTTCCACTCCGTCAAACCATTACTTCAACTTTCAAACTTTTCTTTTTTGTTTTGTTTGTGTCACAGTTTATGCAACTTTCTTTTTAAAGTAAATAATTAATAATTTAGCTTATTTATACCTTTTTTGCATAATTATATAAAACGTACGTAGTATTTTTTATTTTCTTATTTTACACCTAATGTAAATTTAGCAATGTCTCTGGATGGAAACAATATATGCATGCTCTCATTGGACTTTCGGAACCACGCTTGCAGGTTGGAAGCCATACCAAATTGACATATAATCAGGGGCGGAGCCAAAAGGGCAGAGTGGTCAGCCGACCCCACTGAAAATTTAAGAGCATAAAGCTCTGAAATATCTTCGATTTGATATATTATGGCCTCCGTTACCCATTACGAGTAAAAAGTTATGACTTCTGGAAAATCGTCACTATCTAAATGTAAAATCAGCAAAGTTTGATGCATACTATTAATTATTGGAATAATTATCCTAGGTATAACTAAAACTTGTTCAGTTTCTCAATCTATGACCTATATAGTTTTTTTACCAAAATAATATTAAAAATCATAATATTTTATCAAATTCGTAATTAATAAATCATTAAATAATTGAGGTGGACAAATATACCCTTTACATCAAATCTATAAATCCTTAAGCTCATACTCTTTTCTCCAAACCCTATGTAACACCCCCATTTTCCCTCCCAAAATAATACTTGAAATAACAGATTTATTAATAATAGACTTGATTTATTCTTTGAAAACAGATAAAAAGTTTTGCAGCGGAAATAACATTAAATGGGAAATGGGTGTTACCGCCACATCCGGTCATCTCTTAACCGAATGCACAGGCAATCACCAAACAAAGTAAAACAAGTGTTCAACATAATTAAATTATAATTCTTGACTAGGTTTGACTAAGGCATATCTAAACCGCTCTCGGGAATCAAGCAATCATCAGTCAACATAAACATCATCACCTGCACAAATAAAGTGCAGAAAACAAAACAAAGAAAGGGAAACAAAAATTAGCTTTAGAGCTAAGTAAGTACTACCCAACCCCGTAAAATAATCAGGTTTGGCGAAAAATAGTTTTTCATATAATACTATATAAAAATGACACACTCCACCAAAATTCTTTTCTCTTTGATATTTCTCAAAATCACTTCTTTAATAAAGTCCTCAACTTTTCTTTGAAAATACCATAGTAACTCTTCTCTTAGAATTTCTCAAAGTTCACTTCTTCTCTATCTTCCTAGTAATTTAGAAGGGCGGTGCTCAACACTGGTTGAGCCCGGTGGTTACGTTGTTATGTACGGCCACCCCGAGACTTTTGCCGGTACCACAACTGCTAATGGAAACGAAACGACTACCTTAAGTGTGCACACCCCCTAAGAGGGATTCCAAGCCCTCCGAGTAGTAAGTCGTCACGAGTAATCGGGACTCAGTCTACCAACTACCCCACCTTTAAAATTCTTGAATGATTAGGGACTACTACTATAACTTCTTCTTAAAAGGGATCATAGATCCAAACGTCACTTCAAACTCAAACTGTACTTCTTAGTAGTAGTAGCCTTAATCACCCTCCACATTTATCCGGATGTGGAAAACCGACACCACGGATTTCTCCCGGGTGCTCACCTCTTATGAAATCCTTAATTTTATCTTGAATTAAGTATACTTCAAAAATATTTCTCAATCTCTCTAAATAGTCTCAAAAGTATCTAAAAATATTTAATACCCAAAAGAACTTCGTTTGCACTTCAAAAATACCATAAATCTAATATCTCCTCAAAATCACATACACATAATTCAAAATTCACTCTTTATCACAAAATGCATAATAAGCATATAATACGAGGAAATCATTTTGGATCGGCAGAGAAACTTACCTGGATTCACAATTAATCCTATTTGAAGCTTTTACCTTGATCTCCTCAAATCTTACCTTCTAAAATATTAAAATTCTAAAATCAATATCTATCAAATTTATAGTTATACTCCACCCTTTATAAGTTCTGGCCACCCCTTGTAATTTAACTACTTCCAGTAAATGGTTTCTACAATGGTCCATAATAACTTACACATCCATTTTGTTATGGTCTAACTAGTATACCCAATTTATTGTAATGACAAATTAATCTAAAAGGTGACAAATTTATAAAGCTATCAATATTTCATTAGATCGTGTTGCCTTGGTCATTTTAATCATCGTTTTATTCTCGGCCAGCCTCGATTCAAGTTACAATAGTTTAGCCCCAATATATTATTATTATTAGTAATATACTTATTGTTAATCTCATTATTTTTTTCATTTAGCTCAGGCCATTTTCTTATTTCTTGAACTATTATGAGGGTCGAACAGTAACACAAACAGCCCAACCTAAACCTTCTAATTTCTCCTTCATTCCTTAATTAAACAGTTCGGCTCATTTAATTAAGTTAATTACTTTCAGCCCCGATTAATAAAATTTCAGCCCGTCAAAATTATTACGGAGTAATATGAATTGCGTACAATAGGTGGTACCTCCGGTGCCTCGTTCTCCGTCGTGGGAACGATCTGGTAGCCCGGCAGCGATACACCGGCGTGTCGTCCGATCCTCTTCCCCGGCGACGTCGAGAGGGATGCTCGGATAGTAGTTTGGTCTGGCAGTCAGTTCCCCTGGTGCAGCATCTCCTCCCGTTGTAATGACGGCACGTTCAAAGCTTATTCTCCGGCGTCATTGTAATCTTCGCCGGCGAACTCCGGCAAGCTTTTTACTCCCTCTTTTGGCGACCGTTTCTCTCTTTCACACTTTCTTTTGTTTAGTTGCATAACGTGAATATATCCTTCAGACATATATTTATATGTCGATGGCCTTAGTTTGTAATCTTGTATATGTAAACGCAGGTCGACGGAATAGTCCTATATATTACGGAGTATGTATATACTATATAAGCACTAGGAAGGTTCCAGGTCTGCTAGGAATTTTTGTGGTTGTAGTGCTTTACCTAGCTGGTGGGAGATGCATATCATGTACGTACATGACATCCCATGTGGGTTCTAAATATAATGATAGTACATGCATGTTAAAATTATAAACCTTGCCCTGCAAATATATTCGCACCTTCCGAGGTCTTAGTAGAGCACCGCACTTGCATTTGTATCTGTATTGCTAAGTACACAGTATTTTGGCCTTCCCTTATCAAATTGCCAGATTGGTTGGATGATTGCGCATAGGTGCTTGTCACTCCACGTGAATATGCCTTGTACAAGTACCTTACTCCATGAGTGGGAGTGTCTTATTACAACTCTTTTAATATTGCTATTTTTGTGTTGTATATATGTGTACTTTGGTACATATATTAATTAGTACCCGTATTTTTGAATTAAGATTGTCGAAATGCACTATTATTCTTTATATCATATGTATAATTATAACCTCTCACAAGATGTCACTTTTGTTATTTAAGTCAAGGTCTTATCTGGTCAACATAATTATTGTAAAAACGTCACTTTTATTATTGAAACATTTTTATCTTATTAAAACTGTCACCGATGTTAAAATTTTATCTCATTCACTTAATTATTAAAATGTGACTTTCGTAACATTTTATCAGACTAATAAGTTTATTTATTTTATTTAAATTTTCGGGGTGTCACATTCTACCCTCCTTAAAAGATGTTTCGTCCCGAAGCATAAGTTAAGAAAATTATCCATATATACAATTAATAGTTATCATGTGTTAGTTTATATTAAATCCTTTTTATTAAATTTCTGGAGTGTCACATTCTACCCCCCTTACAAGAATGCTTCGTCCCGAAGCATTATTCTAAAATCTATTGGAACATTCCTATACTATATTCTTCGAAATCAAACACATACGTGCAATATGCACGTAAGCCTATTTGAGGTAATTATAAAAATTCACAAAATTCTATGTAATAAACATAATTCAAAAACTCACAACCTCACCCGTATCCTAGAGTTTTCCTTTTTTTTTTCCTAGACTTATTCTTTCTTAATTAGATTTATTATTCTTTTTGTTGAAGAGCATTTAGAAAATCGATATAAATAATCTTTTTTTTTAGGAACAGTTTAGAAAACTTTTTTTTTTTTGAAAAATTTCAATCGGTTTTAAAAAGAAAGTTTTATTTGAAATTTCCCAATTTGAAAATCATAGGCTTTGATACCAACTTGTTGGTATCACTTAAGAAAATTTAAGAAACATTAGCAAATATTTTGACAAATAGTTTAGAAAACTTTTTGGAAAAAGACTTTGAAAAACAATGCCCCAGAAAAACCATTTCTCTGATACCAATTTGTAACACCCCCATTTTCCCTCCCAAAATAATACTTGAAATAACAGATTTATTAATAATAGACTTGATTTATTCTTTGAAAACAGATAAAAAGTTTTGCAGCGGAAATAACATTAAATGGGAAATGGGTGTTACCGCCACATCTGGTCATCTCTTAACCGAATGCACAGGCAATCACCAAACAAAGTAAAACAAGTGTTCAACATAATTAAATTATAATTCTTGACTAGGTTTGACTAAGGCATCTCTAAACCGCTCTCGGGAATCAAGCAATCATCAGTCAACATAAACATCATCACCTGCACAAATAAAGTGCAGAAAACAAAACAAAGAAAGGGAAACAAAAATTAGCTTTAGAGCTAAGTAAGTACTACCCAACCCCGTAAAATAATCAGGTTTGGCGAAAAATAGTTTTTCATATAATACTATATAAAAATGACACACTCCACCAAAATTCTTTTCTCTTTGATAT